ATTATTATTATTACTATTATTATTAATGGTAATTATTAATTACACTTGCTTGGTTATTAATATTAATTTGTTGGTAGTGATAATTAGATTATTGCTATCGTCTTTATTAATTATTATCTTTATTCGTAATAAATACTATTGTTACTGCTGGTATTATTTGAACATTATTATTGCTGCCACTGCCATCAATAATATCGAATCTTCTATGTTGTTTTATGTATTGTTGAATTATTTAAACAGAAAAAGAATAAATAAAATGTTATTATATTATTATTTTTGTTAGCTGACTTTTCTATAATAAAAAAAATTAAAGGATAAAGTTAAAAAGCATTATTCATTTCGTAAAATCGTAAGTTTTTTCCAAATTAGGAAATGGAAATCAGTCCCATATGGATTACACAATCAATATATTTAATATATTTTTATTATTATATGATTGCTTAACTTTTTATCAACTAAAAAAACTTTTTCGTTGAAATTCATAAACATCATTTTTTTCAATTAGCTGTTAAGTTATTAAAATAAAGCAATGATTTTCTGAAAATGTCAAATTTTTGACATGGAACAAATTATTTATGGCAATTGTTTGTAAAACAATGAACTAATTCATTAATTCAGTGATTGATAACAAAAAAAAAATTTTTTTTGAAAACTATTTTTAGTAAAAAAAAAAGTTCTTTGATGAAGTTTCAAAAATATCTGATATAGCTAGCATGTTAATAATTGTAATTGAAGTTTTCTTAATTAGGAAAGCTTATTTATGGGGTTAAATTTATATTAAATTCGCACACACACGTATATAATGTATAAGATATCGATACACGTGTTAATGTGAATAGTAATAGAAAGATATTAAATGAACTTGTCGTTTGAATGAATTTTTAGAATTTTTCCCATGAACAAAAACTAAAAAAATTTAAATTAAAAAAAAAAAAATTTATACACTAAGGAGCCACACAATTTTCTTTCATAATTATTACATTATCTGCCTGTTTAACTAAATTTAATTAAGAAGATAACTCTCCCAAAAGAAACACAAATTTAATAATCATATAAACAAACAGATCTTAATTCTTGTATTTAATGGACACACAAATTTTAACAATCACTGTATTTATTATTTACATAATTTTTATCTAATTTATCGGCATAAAAATTAATTTGTCGAAAAAAAAACCACTTATCATTATTATATGAGGCAAAACCAGAAACAGTGCCACATAAAATTTGGCGGTTTTCCACAATAAATTGTATAACTTAACTTTTTTTTATATTTACTTTACATTATAATAACTACAGGGGTTTTTTGCTCAATCTTATTGGTCATCGAGCCTTATCATTTAATATTAACGATTCTTTATCATGCCATTTGCTACCCCAATATTAACAAATTTAAATTCACGTGTAACGTACCATTTGGCTTTTTTTGTTTTCATTTTCACGTTATTAACACAGGTAGGTAGGTGTATGAACTAGGCAAAATGTCTTCTGCTGCCGTCACAATAGGGTTCAGCATTACGTCTATAAGCCATAGCCGTCCGTTTACAAATTAAAAAATAAAAAAAGTTAGGATACAGATAAATTTGCGGAAAAATTAGGTCAAATTGGTTTGTCACCAAAACTATTTTGAAGTGGTGAAAGTCAAAGGTAAAATTAAAAGTTATATGTCAAAACTAAATCAAAAGTCAAATCTAGTTTCGACTTATGGCGTGATGATACTTTTTTTACTGGTTCTAGAACAACTTGCAAACTTTTTCGATAACAAAATCATATAATTCATAGTTAGCCACTTGATTTCGATAGAATGTTAATGCTATATCAGTCGAACGATTTTGTCACGCAAAACGATTTTCAAGTGTTTTTTCTACCAAATTTGAAATTTGACGCCTAGATTTTTCAATCATTCTTCTGGAAAACAATTAGGGGAGATTAGAATTAAAGTTTATATCACATTACCGTATTCGGAAGTTAATTCTCTCTTTTTTGGTCATGATCTCTTGCCCACGCTTTTGCCTATTTCAATCACGTATTTACTAAATTTGGAAGTCGATTCTAGAAAAAATTCGACCTCTTTGTCGATTATAATTAATTATATGAGTTAGCATAGCAATAGTGTTGGAAAATGACAATTTATAACCACATGACTGGTCATAAGTCATTTGTCATTAAGCAATATGATTGGCGCAGATCAAATATTTTTATTTTAATATCCCCCCCAGATGTCAACAATGAAATAGTTTTATTGTATATGTGAACTTGTTCATCTCTTAGGCTGACCAGTAAAGTACATATGTTTGTGAAAATAGCCAACAATATAAACAGCTTCACCAGAAACTGTTTTAAATGCTTCATTTTCTTTAAATGGGGCATACTACAACAAAACCAGACAAAGTGAACATTGATATTACCAAGAATTTCAGGGATCAAAATTTAGTCATTTGTAATGGGATCATAGTTAACAGTTTATAATATCCATTTGTTATCTTAAATTATATATAGAACTATCCCTATATAAAAATAATTAGTATGAGGCTCATTTACTATGGAATCCAAGAATTATAGTACTATCAGAAGTATTTTAAAAAGGAACAAGGTGAAAAAATTGCTCTTTATATTTTCAAAATAAATGATACTCAGGCACTTGAAGCTTATCTAAGAAAAGAAAGGATTATCTATGAAATTTACCAAGAAGAAAGAAAAATAATAAATATTAGAAAAAGAAAGCAGGCAGGATGAGGATACACAATTACAAAACAAAGACAAAAGTCTCTGGACAAACAAATCTAACAAACTTACTGTCTATTTTTATCTTCTTGATGAGATTCCTGAACCAATACTAATGTTCTACTCCAACCATAATTTCAGGAGTCCTTTTTTATGATTGAGACTGACTCTTTTTTTTTTGTTAAAACTATTTAAGAATTCTTTTCTTTAATTACAAGGAATATAGTTGTAGAAAATGCAAGTGTATGAACCAAGTTACTTATTTACCAGGTAATTCTTATGTTTGGCATATGGCTGGTCATACTTTGCCCCCAAATTACAACCCATAACTATACCTATTGACCTAAGTCCAAATATCAACATACACTCGGTGGACAAAAGTTTGCATCCAAAATTTCTTTTGTATTTATTTCAAAATTATGCTAATTAAAATATTGTAATCTTTATATCATTTGAAAGCTCTTGTTCTTAATAATATGTTCGTGATATTAAATTATGAAGTTTTGTTGTGAAAAAGGACAAAAAATAAAAAATAAAAAATAATGTAAAAATCGTGAAAATGTTGATCATTTTTTGTTTTAAAACAATTTTGAAAAAAATGGGAAAGAACCGCGAATTGACTGTTTCTGAAAGATCACAAATTATTGGCCTTTTAAAAGGTGGTCATACAAGAAAAGAAATTAGTGACATTCTTGGTTTTCCACTTTCAACTGTTTAAAGTACAATTCAGCGTTATGGAAGTTCCAAAATACCCTTAAGCAAAAAAAGAAGTGGCCGACCCAGATTGCTTGGTGGTAAT